CCTAAATTCTTTCAGCTTATAATTCCACCAAGAAACTTTTCGTGTTGAGGTCTTGGTTTTGACGGGACAACTGTCCTCGAAGGCTTCACGGATACCTACGGTTACTGTCCCCGTCGCTAACTCCAGACCTTCAATTGTTTTAATGCTTTTAGGAAACGTTTCCAAATTCGCTTTCGGATCCCTAAAAGTAACGCTTTCGTATTTTGGTGATGCTCCAATCACAAACTTAATGTGCTTGTGATCAGACATCGAGTTTTCGCTACTAACATGCCAGTCGTTTATCCGCCTGGACATGTTATTGGTAGCAAAGGTTATATCTAAAACTTCTTGCCTAGCACGCGTTACAAAGGTTGGTGTACAACCTAAGTTTAGGCTTGCCAGGTGGTTGGAGATGAGAAAATCATAAAGTAACTCACCTCTTTCGTTGATATTGGTGCTTCCTCAGGCTGTGTGGTGAGCATTAGCATCACAACCCGCCGCAAACAAGTTCGGCGTTGTGTTTTCGGGCGAACTCCGTCACTCGCTCTAACTCGATGGTAGGATCTGCGTTCCCTCCGGGAAGATAGGCTGAGCAAATGATTACTACGGCCCTGTGCATCCCTTGAGATTTATGAAGGCTGTAACCAGGTCATCATTGCAGTACTCTGGAACAGCTAAAAGTTCAATATTTTTATTATAAATTATACATGCTCTGGGTCTACTGCCTTTGGTACTGACAAGAATCTTACCGGCAGCCGTCAATCCCAGAACTTAACCGTTGGCCACCCAAGGCTCTTGTATAAGGGCGAGATCAATGTTGTCCTCTGCAGAGCAAACCTCCACCACGGCAGAAGCAGCTGCTGCATGGTGAAGATTTGCTTGGAGGACCCTCATCTTACCCTTGGGTTTAACCATTTATGGGCGTGGGGGGGCAGGGGTCTTTTCCGCCTGTTGAGGACGAGGACGTCCTTTGCCTGCGAACTTGACCCCCACCTTACCTTTCGTCGAACCGCTCCCACCTCCCCTCCCTCCGGCCTGGAAGACACCAGCGGAGGCCGTCGGACCGAGGCGAAATCTGCGCCTTGGGTCTTCGTCACTCTCACCGTTGGCGTTCCAGCCTCACCCCGAGAGGTGTAGGGCTGGGTGGATTGGGGCTGGGGTGGTTCGGGCTCCATTGCCGCGTCAGAGCCTCCCCTGACTTTAAAAGTTATCATCTTAAAGCCAAGAATGACTCAGCCACCTGCCTTCCGAAGAGCCTCCGCCGATGGGTCGTCCAGAGAAAAGGTTACTAAGAATCCATTCTCCTCGTCCCTACGGTGGAGGATTCTCCAGAGCTCAGTATGGAGCCCTTCATTTTGTGCCCACAACAGCACAGCCACCTTCTCTGGAGAGTCGTCTTCGCTGCAGGGCAAGTAGGTAATGCTCAGCTGAGGCTTAGGCAGTTCGCCCTCGGGTATTACCGAGAGCTCTGCCTCTGGCCAGGGCTTTAGTTTTCCGATTTCACCCACAACCCAGTTCTGCCTTGCCTTATTCAGGCACGTTACCAGAATCTAACCTGGCTTGTGGGTGAAACCCAATAATTTTGGACCCATTCCCGCTTGTGCCCCACAGGCCGTCTTAACGATGGCCTGTGCTAGCGCCCGGTGGACCAGCCGCATCTGATCCACACTCATAGGATTCGAATTGCCAATTCCTATACGTGCGGAGCCAGCTACGGCACTGAAGCTGAGCTTCTTCTCCTTCGTTGCTAGCTTCACAGTCTTCCTGAGCTGGTCTTTGGGGGACTCTTCCTCAGACCGACTGCGTTTTTTCGCCTTCGGAACTGGGGGAGGCTTGGGCAGAGGAATTTCATCCCAAGGCTTCTGGCAGAGAGACAGGGCCTCTTCGGCTCCAATCTCAGCTGCTATCAGCCTTCGGTAACTTTTCCTCGCTGCCCCACTAAGCTTATAAGGCCTAGCGAACTTTTTCTTTTCCCCTCCCTGGTTCGTTTCCGATTGTGGTTCGGCTCCAAACGTGCCCTCCAGTTCACAGCTCGTCCCAGGTTGGGGCGCACTGTTGCAGGGTGTTGGCGAGGCTAAAAGAACCTCTTCCAAACCTACAGCTAATTCCATTAAAGGAGACTTGTCATTTTCTTTTCCAAAATGTCGGTTTTCATCCATTTTGTTCCCACGATTAGCTAGGGAAATACTTGGTCACCTCCGGCAGAGCCCCGCATGCCGAGGGAAGGGCTAAAATACTACCCGAATCGCCCTGGTCTCGGGTAGGCACCGTTTGCGACTGGACTCCCTCCAGCCACGTATCCATCGGCACGGTACGCTTGACACCTTGGATTGGGTTAGGATAGGAAAAGGGGGAGGGATAAAAGAAAAGAAAAAGAGGATCATCCGAGTGTGTCTGTTCTGTCTGTTTCCTATTGAACCAGACCAAATAACAGGCGGCAACCACGTGAAGGAGAACTACTCAGACTTGCCCTGGGGATCAACACGACCTGCGCTCTCCCCCAGAGCCATACTCTAAACTGCTCGCCGGACAGGAGAGCAGAATAGGTGTTAATCTAGTCCTATTTATAATATCAAAAAGTTAGGAGTAGACTAACCCCCGCCCAAAGAACTCGAGTTACGCAACTAGAGAACTACTTCAATAAATATATATACTTTTTTGTCCATCCCTATGACTGAGTAAGGGCGTAAAATGAGGGTAGTGTAATAAACGACATCCCTAACTAGGGGCCACGCCCACCCTTCATTCAGGGCTCTGATTCAGGGTAGTGTAATAGGGGCATAAACTATAGTTAGCAGGACGAAACACAGTAAATGATTTTTTACAATTACTTTAAAAATATCGATTCAATAAATATATAAATACATACATTTTTCACTTGTCCATCCCTATGACTGAGTAAGGCAGTGTAGCCGTTTTAGCGCAATTGGCGCTAGATCTAGTGCAATTCTAGGGTCTATAGCGCTTTTTTTTTAGATATCTAAGCACTAAAATATCTAGTGGAATCTGGCGAAATATGATATTAGTTGGCAGCACAGTGTAATAAAACACTAGTCTATCGTTCGGGTATTCTCTGACTAAAATGTTACTGTAGCGTTAATTGTTTTATCATTTTATTATTATTGTTTTGCATTATATTAATCCACTAAGCTTTAATATCTCAGAAGAACTGGTTTTTCTCACTTTCGAGTTCGTGTTAGTCTTTTAGGTCAGTTTTAATTGTTTCGTGAAAATTTCAAATGGAAGTGCCACCAAGGAAGTAGGCTTATAACCAGAAATGTAGAACTGAGTGGGAGCAAATGGCATGGAATTCAATAGGTCAAATATGAAGGTGATGTTGATGATATACAGAAATTTTGGGCTCAAGTCGATATAAAAATGTGGCTAGGATGAATGCCTTCCGGGAATTAGTGAACTAGCCATCAGCGTGCCATCGCTTCACAACAACATTTTACACAGCGTGTGTTGTGACACTTGTACCTCGGATTCCAGAGTAGGCTAGCGTATTCCACAATAGTTCTCACCAAATAGTTATAGACTGGAATGATTTAACCAGAGTCTTTAAAAGATTTTATTTGCCTGGGTATTAACCCGGATAATTTAGAAGCTTTTTTTGCTATTGAGTCAATATGACTTCTAAAGCTGTCAATTAAAACGCTTAAGTCTTGGATTTCCGTGACCTCACTCAATGGCTCATCGTTTAACTTGTATGCTGCCTCGGTTTTATTTTTCTTTCCAGTTAACTTTAGATATTTCCCAGTATTGAGGATCATATAATTTATTATTTTCTTTACTGAATACATAATATATAATCACAATCTGCCAAACTATGAACTTTTGACAACACCAGTCGTTTAATCTATCCAACTCGTACTGTAGAGTGGTCACATCTAATTTGGAGTCAATGATTTTGTGCAGTTTAAGGTCGTCTGCGTACAATTTAAAATTACATTCTATTATATTGGCTAGATCGTTTATGAAAATAAGAAAGAACAATGGACCGACATGAGAGCCCTGGGGAACGCCAGAAGGAATCTCTCTAGCTGAGGATGAATAAGCACGCAACTAGACCAACAGTGACCGATTTCTAAGATAGGAATCGCACCAGCGCAGCAGTGAACCATGGACCCCCATTACCATGATCTTCTTTATGAGCAGGTCGTGGTTGATGAGATTGAAGGCCTTGCTAAAATCGGTGTAAATACTGTGTACCTCTTTATTCCTATCCAGTGCACATGCAATATCATTAACAAAACCGACTAAGTTAGATGTTGTAGACTTTTTAGGCTGTAACTCATGTTGGTTAGGATGCAGGCGCTCTTTGACGTGCCAATATACTGTTTTATGAACAAATGACTCTAGAACCTTACAGGGTGCTGGAAGTATGGAAACAGGCCTGTAATTGGATATATCGGGAGGATCTCCTTTTTTATGGATGGGGATGATGCGCGGCTTTTTCCATACTTGGGGGAAAATGCCGCTTCGGATGGAGTGGTTAAATATATAGGCAAGAAATTTTGACATAATTTCAGCACACTTCTTTAGAATAATCGGGGGCAAGTCATCCAATCCTGAAGAAGCCTTGCTTCCATCCAATCCCATCAATGCTCTTTCTACAACGTATTCGCTGACAGTGAGTGAGCTGATGGTCAGACTGTTCTCGCAACTGTGGAGAGACATTGGATGACTTGGTGGTCAAATTGGTGACGATGTCATTGTATATTGACTGAAAGTGCTCTGAGAATAGGTCACAAATCTCTTGGCCACCTCTGGTAGTTTTGGCACCTCGAGACAACTGAGAAGGGACGGAATTTGTGTTTTTTTTGAGACCATTAACATAAGACCAGATGAACTTAGGGTTTGAGTGTAAATGAGAAGCTGCGTTTTTTTTTAAAGCTAGAAAAACAACTTTTGATCATTCTATTGCAACGGTCTCTTAGTAGATTTGTTAATCTGTCAAGGGAATTACCAAACTGCTTGTATTTTTTTGCGATACTTCGCTTTTTATTTTAGGCATTTTATTAAGGACATTTTTCTGAATGTGGTGTTCGATATGGCGTGTGCTTCTTAATTATGGGCAAAACTATGTCGTAAAACTTGTCAACTATGGAATCTATGTCATAAAGCTCAGACCACACTTCGGACCACACTATATGCGTGAGTTCTTTGTTAGTGGCGTTAAAGTCGCACTTGGAGTAGTTTGGTGATGCTACACGTTTGGGCCTGCATGGTTTTATTTTGCCCAGACTGTGAATGAGTATTTCGAGGGCAGGATAATGAGAATCCAATCCAAACAAAGGCAGCGAAGCTTGGACCACTTTTACGTTATTAGTATTATCTACAAGCACCAAGTCCAAAATACGATTATTATCGTTTAAGATACAATTACATTGTTTAAGATTATTGAACGTAATTTCGTCGATGAACATGTTTTCAATAGACAAACAGTGTTTGCAGTGGTAAATATCGGTTTCATTGATGGGACAGCTGACGATTTTACCTAGCTGTTGAACTATTCTGGTTACGTTTTCGTTCTTGTGCTCACGGACGCACTGGAGTTCTAAATTAACAGCGCGAGACATCTGGTCCAACTGATTGCAGTGAGTGGTTAGATTAATGACGTCCCTTCGCAGTGAATTGTTTTCGACACTGAGACGTCAAACCTTTGCTTTTTGGGCTATGGCACATCCCTACACCTGCGTGCGAACATCACTAGAAGCTGACCGCCGTGGACAACCGCGGGGCGCGACGCGAGGGAGCGGGCGGCACACTGCGACCGGCCCGCAGCTCCACTGCGCATCCAATCACCTCGAGCGCACGACCTCTGCTTAATTTCGCTCTAATTTTGTCGCGCGTTAATATTGCTATATTTTGTATCCGCCTACAATATAGGAGTTGTAAATTGGTAGTTGTCTTTCTATTACACCGTCCTCGATAGTAGTAGGCATAGTAGGCTTACACCTAAAGGCCTTAACCTCGGCATTTAATTGCTCGAATTGTTCATTAAAAAATGACATCGAATCTTTGAGACTGACCACCTCACTCCTTATTTCATTTAGTTGACTACAAATTCCGGTGGCCTATTCCCTCAGTGCCTCATTTATGATGTCACGTATATCTGCGCTCGATGTAAGTGTGGTTGGGTTTGGGGGTGGAGTGTTGTCGCCTCTAGGCTGTTTACTGTGACAATTGGGGCATTGCCCACTAGCTCTTTGAGTATCCGACATCTTTTTAAGGTTTTTGTTAGAAATGTTAACGCATAGATTGTGATAACATTGTTTACAACGCGCGCAATCGATGCGTCCGATGTAATTGTGTATTTCGTTCAAATAACTAACGCAGGTATAGTTCGGCCGTTCAGAGAATGCGTTCCTGACACGTCGCGATTGAACTGACGACGTAACTTTGTAATGGCGTTGCAGTTACGATAAAAATATTTTTGCTGGTTGTTTACCGTTTTAACAATTGATGAGCATTAAAACAACATTATTATATCAATAATCAGAGAATGTTATAATTTTGTGCCAAACTGAGTGTCAAATAACTTGGTAAACAATATTTTTCTGAATCTATACTGCGCTATTACAAGGTTATGTCAGCGCTTTATATTTGTAGTGGTGTGCTAACAATAACAGGCAATCACAGTATCGTAATCTGTTCTTATACAGTTATACTTTATAAAATAATACGTACGTTTTGTTTTTCTTTTTAAGAATTTGAAAATAATGGTCTATAAGATAACTCTTATTAAATATAAAAATAAAAATATGACTAAACCGAACGCGCGTAAGAAAGTAGCATTTTTAACAGGAAGAAGCTTTTGGCATCGTCAAGAGAAGCTGGACTGTTTAGCGGGGGTAAAACTGCTTTAACCAAAATCTTAAAAGATATTGGTTTTTCGTATAAAAAAAAGCCAAAAGAAAAATTTTATTAGAACGATACGACATAATTTTAAAACGGATAAGTTTTTTGAGAGAAGCAAAAAATATTGATAACTGGGATAATGTCGTGTTCATTGACGAGACATGGCTAAACGCCTCACGGTTTCCCGTTCTTGGACGGATGATACACAAGCGTCGACGTCGAAAGTACCAATGGGTAAGGGGCCCGTCTGATAATATGCCACGCAGGTTCTGCAAAATACGGCTTTGTGGAGAACGCGTTACTGGCATTTCAATCAAAAACCACAAATGACTACCACGAGGAAATGAATGCCACTACATTTAAAGAGTGGTTCCAGAACGTGCTTTTGCCCAGCCTACCAGAGCCTTCTGTAATATTCATGGATAATGCCTCCTATCACTCTATTCAATTACAGAAATACCACCTACCCAAGCTAATAAAAAAGAAGAAATGGCGGCTTGGTGACGCAAATATGCAGATGCTAAAACCAGAGCTAATTAAATTAGTTAAAGGAAATAAAGCGGCAAATGTGCGAAATGAAATTGATGAACTGGCTCTGGAGTACGGTCATCGCGTTCTAAGAATTCCACCGTATCATTGCCAATATAACGCGATTGAGCTAATCTGGGCTCAAATAAAAGGTTACGCCGCCCGCCACAATACTTCCCCGCCATTCAGCACGAAAAAGAAGATGACTGGGCAAAGGACTAAAACCTGATTGTGGAACATTTTGACCGAGATATCAGGATTGATTCTGTTATTGATAATAATGTAATTATACATGTAGGCGAAGATGATGATGAAGACACCACCTCCTCAAGCGAATTGGAGTCTCATTAATATTGTGTACGCACATTCAATTCAATTAAATCCCAACCCAAGCATACAACTGCAAGACTTCAAGATACCATAAGTTCATACTTCATAGATCGGAACAAAAGTTAAATTTTAATCTATGGTAACCGCGGTTAACTATGACATATGGACGTTGAACATCTCAGTCCCGCCCGTGACCATGAGTGCTGTAAAGCGTTCGAAACGTCGGGTATTTAAAAAGTTAAATATACGCGATAAATTCCGTAAAAACTAGTATTATTTCAAATACAGATTGTTACTTTGTAGCAAAGAATAAGTAAAACAATTTTATTATATTAATATTACCTTTTTTTGGTTTCCACTTAAATTACTAAAATATAAATTTTAAATGATTCCGCCAATTTAAAACGAAAATAATCTTAAAAATAACGCGGCGGTTCATTTTGGAGGAACGGTAACGAACTCAGTGTTATGTTGTGCCCATCACTAGTCGTGATTAACTGATAGGTGTCAGGAACGCATTCTCTGAACGGCCGAACTATAATCATCTTGCCGTGCGTAGCGTGGCCGTTGATTTGATAGGGACGAAAAATAGCAACTGTCTCTCACCGTACCGGGGGAAAGTGCGGCTCCCCTGCCTCGAGATTCGGTGCGGATACGGGAGAGCAATTATTTTCGCTAATGTCGTCTTCTTCGCGCGAAGTGACTAATAAGCCAGTGATAATGTTTGTGTTCTCACTCTCTGTCCTGACACGTTCACTCTGTTAACCTTGCCAACGCACACCCTGCTTTTTTAAAATATAGCGCAATTTTGATAAGGGTTTTGTGCATCTTTTTTCTTCATACAGCAACACAGGAGTAAGGGCGTAAAATCAGTAAAGTTGTTCAAAACGGCTATAAATCAATAGCACGCTACAGACTATAAACTATAAATTTCTAGCGCGCTATTAAATACGCTATGTTATAAGAAAGCTTGTTGCAGCACGCTATATCTCGTAGAACGTTACATTACATGTCGTTCATAGGATAGACCGGGTGCTATATTTTCGTAATAAGTCGCATTTTAGACTTAAATAAAATAAAGCGGTAAAGAAAATCCAATGAATGTTTTTTCATACTTTTCAGGCTTACGACTTTCTATAATTCTAAAAATATTTTTAAGGCATGTACTTTTTAAAACGAAATAAAATCAATTATTTTTTACAATAATTGATATAAACGTTATTTTAAAATAAATATAAATTATAAATCAAATAAAGGTGTATTTAAAAGTTTATTGATTGTATTTAAGAAATCCACTATTTACATACACTATTATATACACACTATTGTATCTTTATTTTATTTACATTTAAAAACATTAGTTAGGCTTCTTTTATTGCAAATAACTGTGTCCATCGATCACTTATAAATATACAGTATAAACAACGTCTAACACTAAATTAGGTCACGCGCGATGAATAGCGTGCTGCTAGATAAAATTTGCGTCACACGTCCTCTCCCAACAGCGTTGCTGCTAGAACTAGTTGCCACTAGATATATTTTTTTTGCACCCGAAGCAAATGTGGGCAACCCTCCGGAAAACGGGGGAGGGAGGCGGTGAATGATCATAACATACCACGCAGCCGGCTGCGTGGTTATGTGGAGACTTTTACCCACTAAACACCGCCTTTATTGATTGGCTTACCGATCTGACGAGAGATCTCTAAGCCGTATACGGATGCGACCCTCCTTGGCAGAAAGGAATGCGCAAGTGGCAGAAAGGAGGGCGCAAACCGCTAGATATTAATACTTAATAGTGCCAAAGCGCCATAGCGCAATAGCGCCATTGCGACTACTTTACTCTAGCGCGTGCTATGTGTTATGGAGAGATAGTGCGCTACTATATGGCGCTTTGCGCTGTATTAACCACCATTAAAAATCAGGTAATAACTGATCTCTCTAATTAGAGGCCACGCCCACCCTTCATTCGGAACCCTCATTCGGGGTGGTATAATAGGGGCATTAGTAAAATAATGAAATTAATTTTAAAAACTCCAGTTGGGTTGCTAGCTGGTTCTTTCTAAGACAGACGCTTTTCTAAACCCGTGTTAAAAATATGAAATGACATTTATTTCAATACGAATTACGTGTAATCTATATTGTATTAAAAAAAAATATGGTCACACTGGCAGCACTTTGTTTTAATTGTCAAAGTCAAGCAACTGTCAACTCGTGTTTCATACGGTGGTTTAAATTGTGGTTTTAAAAATTTAGATTTTATATGAACAGTAATATGGGAGAGCTAGCAGTAACGAACTTATTTGAATCCCAAACGATTGCTGCAGATCACAAAGATCTTATTCATGATGTAGCTTACGATTTTTACGGGGAAAGAATGGCGACTTGTTCCAGTGATCAGTATGTTAAAGTAAGACTTAAATAATGTTGTTTATTTTTCTATGTATTTCATTTAACTATTAACTTATTTCCATCGTTAATTGATAATTTATTTCTATTTGATGCCTCTTCCGGCTTGCTTTGGTATACTTCGTCAATGATAACTGGTAATTGTAGATGTTTCACATGCTTCTGTGCTTGTGTCTATCGTCAAATAAAGGTTCAAGATAGTGTCTTATTAGTTTTATCCTTTAGGTCTAGGATGTAATCCTTAATTGCCTTATTAGGTCTATGGTGCACATCAGTTTTTGTTTTGTATGAATTGTACATTTGTTATTGTTTTATTATTTTGATTTTGTTATTAGGGCTGCTGCTGTCTGTTTCCTGTTTAATTTCTCTCTATTGACTCTTACAACACCTCTAGGTAGATATGGGGTAGTTGACTAGTTTATGCTGATATTACATGGCTTATTGGAATTTCAAAGTCAAATAGAATAAAAAAATAGAATACTATTATAATAATAATGTCCGAATTTCTGCCGGCGGCCAGTCTCAACGGAGATTAGCCATTGGCGCAGGACAGGATTATAGTGCCCAAGTGTATGTGCAGGCACAGGTGCACTCTCTACTCCTTCACCCTCATAATCCGATGGGACGGTAAACCGACATGACCGGAGAGAGATTGGGCATAGGACCTACAGCTTTACGTGCTTTCCGAGGCATGAGGTTGAGACACCGCCAACTTCCTGACTCCGGGCAGGTACTGAGAATTTTTTGACAGAAAAACTCAATAATTGATTTTTTGGCCCGACCCGGGATTCGAACCCAGGACCTCATGATCAGCAGTCGCACTACTACAACCACTAGACCAACGAGGCAGTCATAGAATACTATAATACACAATAGAATGGCTGTCAACTTTATTTTGTAAAAGGTTTGGTGTCGCCAAACCAGATTCGCTGTGTTGACAGACTGAGTAAATTTACACATTATCAACTTTTGATTAATGTTCAAGATCATCATTAAAAAAATTGTTTAAATTTTAATACGTAATATTTATTTGTAAATAGGGTGCAATTTGGCATTTTTTAAATAATTTGCATGCGAAATTCGGAAACGACTATAATGTCAAAACACATCTCATGTTGACATTTATACATGTGAATTGATGTGTTAGTGACATTTTAGTGGCTACGCGGGCTCCACTCACTCCCCCGTTATATTATGTATGTACTATAGTATTCTATGGTATTTAACATATTTATTTTTAAAATGGCACTCCTTACTACTGTATTGAAAGACATTTTCAACCTACTGGAATGGAGTATCAAAATCAATAAAGTAAATATATGATTTACTTTGATAGTGTGGCTTAGCAATGAGTTATAGTGCTAAGGGCCATGGGTTTGAATCCCACATGGAACAAGTATTTGTATGGCCTATAAGTAATTGTTACGGGTCTGAATGTTTGTGCTGGTGAAATTTATGTTTCTAAACTGCCCCCACGATACAGGGGAAAATCCTAGTGTGGAGGTAACATTTAAAAAAAAATAACTAAGAAAATTTTACTTTGATAATATTGTCCTTATATTAGAACCAATACAATAACATATCAATATGATTTGTGATCTCTTTATTGGCTCTCACAAAAGCAGGTTTAAAGATGAACTTAATGACTATTATATCAAATATCTGTTACACTATGTTCTATGTTGTGGATGATTATTTAGGACAAATGCCTTTTAATTTTGATAAGTCTATAGCAAGAACTGCAAAATGAGATAAAGGATGTAAACAAGCTTTTAGGGCTGAATATAATCAAAACCACAATTTGAAAATCTTACACTGAAAATAGATACCAGATTGTAAGGATTGGAAATTATCAAAGTAACTCCTTACCTATAAATTGTGGAATACCACAAGGTTCGATTTTTTTATAGTGTATGTTAACAATATTTGTGAAGTAGACTTACACGATCATCTCATTCTGTATGCAGACAACACATGTTTATTCTACTTTGGACAGAATATAGATGATGATTTCTTATATTTACGCGAACACTACACATTGAAATAATACTAGTTTTTACGGAATTTAACGCGTATATTTAACTTTTTAATTACCCGACGTTTCGAGAGCTTTACAGCACCCATGGTCACGGGGAGGACTGAGATGTTCAACGTCCAGCTGTCATAGTTAACCGCGGTTACCATAGATTAAATTTAACTTTTGTTCCGATCTACACAGTATGAACTTATGGTATCATGGAGTCTTGCAGTTGTATGCTTGGGTTGGGATTTAATTTTATTTATTATAGGATCCCAAGCAGATGGTAGCACCCAGCCATCTTCTCTATTGAAATTAGGATGTTTTTTGATTTCAATAGCCTCGCGAATCATCCTTGGAAGGAATCGGTGTTCTTTAGCGAGGATTTGTGGTCTATCAAATCTGATGTAGTGATGGGGGCGATCCTGTACATGTTCGCAGACTGCAGACTTCCCGGAGCGTCGATTCTTCACATCAGCTATATGTTCTTTGACGCGGGTTTTAATGGATCTTGTTTTCTTGAGTTTGTCCTATGTAGGACACTGTGTATAGAAAAAAGACCCATACAGATAGATATTTAAACGGTGATTCTCACCACCATCCTTCACAGTTAGCTACCGTGGGTAAATCTTTGTTTCAGACAGCACGAGGGATCTGTGACAGTAAACACCTGGCTGCCGAGCTCCAACATGTCAAGCAAGTTTTGCATGACAATAAGCTTCTGGTCCCGTGCCTACGTCACAGAGAACGAGTGAAGCCGGCCACAGTCGAGCGTGTACCTGCTGTACTGCCATATGTTAGAGGAGTCACTGACAAGATTGGCTACATCTTGAAGCGCGCTTCCATCAAAACATACTTCAAGCCGCCGAAGAAGATTGGTCAGTTTTTACCATCAGTCAAGTGTAACGTCCCTCTGCAAGATGCAGGAGTGTACAAGCTTGATTGTGAATGTGGTCTCTCCTACATAGGACAAACTAAAAGATCCATTAAAACCCGCGTCAAAGAACATATAGCTGATGTGAAGAATCGACGCTCCGGGAAGTCTGCAGTCTGTGAACATGTACAGGATCGCCCCCGTCACTACATCAGATTTGATAGACCACAAATCCTCGCTAAAGAACACCGATTCCTTCCAAGGATGATTCGCGAGGCTATTGAAATCAAAAAACATCCTAATTTCAATAGAGAAGATGGCTGGGTGCTACCATCTGCTTGGGATCCTATAATAAATAAAATTAAATCCCAACCCAAGCATACAACTGCAAGACTCCATGATACCATAAGTTCATACTGTGTAGATTGGAACAAAAGTTAAATTTTAATCTATGGTAACAGCGGTTAACTATGACAGCTGGACGTTGAACATCTCAGTCCTTCCCGTGACCATGGGTGCTGTAAAGCTCTCGAAACGTCGGGTAATTAAAAAGTTAAATATACGCGATAAATTCCGTAAAAACTAGTATTATTTCAAGAATATAGATGACCTTACTATGCTTGCTCAACATGATCTCAACACACTACACAGATGGTTCCAGTACAACCTATTAACAATAAATACCGCCAAAATGTCTTACGTAATATTTAGTGCAAAAAACAAAAAAATTCAACACCAAACAAAATTATACATTAAAGGAGAAATATTACGCCAATCTAATCAAGAAAAATACCTTGGGCTATTGCTTGATAAACATCTGTCATGGAACGGTCATTTATCAATTATAAAAAATAAGCTTTCATCTCTAATAAGTTCTATATATAGTTCTATACGGCATAGCTCGATGTATACCACCGAAAGCTCGCCCTTTGATCTATAATACATTGTTTAAACCACACTTACTTTACTTAATAGAGATATGAGGTACAGCAGCCAAAACTTTACAACAAAAGGTACAAGTTCTGAAATATAAATTAATAAAAATTTTATATCATTACAACTTTTTAACTTCGACCAAAACAATATATCATGAAACGAATTTACTAAACATCAAGCAATTATACATCTATAACACATGTATATTAATATATAAAATCACACATAATATGATCCATTCAAATATTACATTCACCACAAAAGGAGAAACACTAAAATAATCTTTTTTTTTTTTTTTTTCTTTTTTGTAATAAATAATAATATTATCACGCCGTGCAAACCGTTCGCACTAATTATGGAAAAAATGCCGTAACATTTGCGGGAGCACAGTTGTGTAATAAACTCCCTTCAACTATAAAAGGTGCAAGTTCATTCAATATATTCAAAAAAAAATTATTAGACCACATTAAAAAACAAGACATTATATCACTTGTATTATAAATAGCCACCGTCTTATATTATAAATATTTGAAACATCTCTCTTACGCAGTTAACTTGCAACTTCTATTTAATTTTGATCTACTCTAATTTATGTTTACTATTTTATTATATTGTTCTGTGTGATTTATTTTAAATTGTATGAATGTACTCATGTAAGTCTTTTCAGTTCATGTAAGACATTACTAGTGTTAATTGTCAGTTTTTTCTTGTCCATTTCATTATTGTTATAGTAATGCATTACAGCCTATCTTATGATTGTCTCATAGAGGAGTATGTACCATAGTTGCTTAATTTAAGTCTATCCAACAGAAAAAGAAACAGAAACTTCTTTATTCAATGTAGATTATAAACAATACTTATTGAAAGTCAATTTTTTCATTTACCACTGGTTCGCAAAAAAACCTTTGTCCTGGGAAGAACCAGCAAGAAACCCAGCGGGACTATTTTTTTTTTCAAATAATAGCTTACAATCATGTTTACAATTAACAACACAAAACAAATTAGAAATAGCTTGGTAGCGATCACCCTTCCCAGGGGTTATTATCATCCATAAATTTCTTAATATTATAATAACCCTTTTTTATACAAACTTAGTTTAATAAAATTTTTGAACTTTGCACATGACAAATTTTGTATATTTTCTGGGATTAAACTTACAAAGATATCAACTAATGAGTATGAATTACCTTCGCCACATTTGAAATATTGCTACAACCTATTTATTTTACAATTGATGATGAGACATAGTCTTGCAGTGCTGGCTACTTAGGCCAACTCAAAGTCGTGCAGCAAGGCATACCTTGGCATAGCCTTCTCCATAAAGATTATAGATAAAAGAAGGCTATGCTTGTTGGTAGTGCTATATGTAATTTTATCCACCAAAACTTTATTTTTGTATTCTAATATTATTTTGAGAATCATATTATTTCATTTAGTAATTTTGTAATCATAAATGTATTTTAACCACAATTTTTATGTATGCCCTGATATTGTATTATCTTACAATATTTATGTTTGTGTATGATTTTAATTTGAAAATTTTACATGCCACCAGGTAAAAATTTAAGGCCATCTGTTATTATCTATATTTTGTAACATTTATGGTTTCTGTCTCTCTTTCAAAAACCATCACTTTTATCTTGTGTTCATTTTCATTCTTCACATTCTTTTTAATTTATATATTCATTGATGTAACTACCATTTGTAACTCGTCCACCAAAAAATGACTTTGTCTTTATATTTTTGGCAGCTGTTTGAATAAGTAGAACACAAATCCCTCTGAGTGAGAATGGGAAGTACCATTTATTGTGCGAGGGTTATTGGTTCTGTGATGAACAACCAATCCGAATTTTCCAAGCAATACACTCTTGAAGAGACCTGTATCCAGAACTTGGTCAGAAGAAAGACTGACAATGTTACGAATCCTTATAAAATAGTGCAACTCTTTTTTTGTGTTAAATCTAGACAATAACTAATATCTGGAACATAATTGTGTACACATTATATTGACTCAGATGGGAGAGGTGGATGGCAGCTTACAAGTAGTGGGAAGGCCCACCATGGCTCTGTGTGGAAGGTGACTTGGGCCCATCCTGAGTTTGGACAGGTGCTGGCAACATGCTCATTTGATAGAACTGCTGCTATTTGGGAAGAAGTTGGTAAGTATAGTATAATTCTTCATATTTAGTTATCAATGTCTATTTATCTTAAACTGAATTTCACATCCAAGTATTATTTTTTTCATACATAAAAATATCACGTTATTCAGTTGTCCGATCCTCGGGAATTTACTTAAAAAAAACCTTTGCCTACGAAATAAAAAATGTTGGCACTTTTAAGTTTTTTGTTATAAATGGTGCTATTTTTTGTTTAAACTACTATAATATAATGATTTCTTATTTACGCGAACACTTAACGGCCTATACTACCTCTGCTCAAATTCTAATTTCGCCCCCCACTTCCCCGCGCCACTCGTTCGCACGCTACGGCTCGCGGTCACGCGGGAACTCGAGGTCAAAGCGATTTTGTTAGACTAAAATAAACTATTATCAGACCAGCACTAAGTAATAAGAATTTCAGTCACAATTGTAGTCGATTTTACGGATTTTATCGCGTATATTAACTTTTTTTGTATACCCGACGTTTCGAGCACTTTACAGCACCCATGGTCACGGGGGGGGGGGGGGGCTAAGTCAGTAAAAATAAAAATAAAACCAAAATAAGATAGTAGATCTTATTTTGGTTTTATTGTTAATATCCTCACTGAAGCCGTGATAGCTCAGATGGTTACCGCTCGCTGTAAAATTTACAGTACGCAAGCAAACCGGGTTCGATCCCCGCCGGCACCAATGAAATTGTTAGTTGTAATTTTCAAATAAGCGGAGGGCTGTGCCCAGGAGTGGGACGTATATATACGTATATAACTTATGTATAAAAATTATCCTCACATATGAACAAAATTATGTATTTTGTAATACTTCTTATTTATTGTATGCCAAACCACAAAAATCTGTACACCACATTAAATGAATCAGCATGCATATTGTTCGCGCCACTTTGCACTATCGCTTAACGCTTATAAGGGATTCGGTAATTATTATCCAATAAGATTACTGCAAAGCCCATTTCCGGTTTCCTATCTACCGCCTTTTATGCCCAACATGTGCATTCGTGTTAACGGGCTCACACAAGTTGAGAATACACGCAGCCAACCGCATCGCTTATATCTTGCATCATCGCTCCCGCCCCTGTGTCATTTGAATATAGAATTATACAAGCATATAGTAAAAAGTATAGACATTTGCAATAACGCTATATTTCGTGATTATCTGTGAAGATTATCTGTGAAGTTGATAAGTGTGAAGAAAGCCGGCAGCCATCGAGACACGAGGCAGATCAACGGAAGTCCAGGTGGGTGCACATGCATTCCTTCACGTCCTTCCTATATCCCGAATTTAGGGCATTTGCAGTATCACGAATAAATTAAATTCCATTCACCGCTCGCACCGCGTTCATATACAGTCCACTACTCTTATTTAAATTAATAGCCGCACCGCATAAAATTATTTAATACATTTGAACTAGCAGTTTGGTCGTTAAAACCAAAACGCCAAACCCACCATACATGACAGCTGCATATTCGGCATACCGGCAAATGGTGCCATAATTTGTGTTGGTCTTGTTTTTCTCACGTGTAGTATATTCACTATATTTTAGTATGAAGTTTAGTTACAAGGAAAATACTTTTTTCTATTGTTACATAGGCACTCCCGCGCCGCGCTTGTAAGGTTACCGTGCTGCGTATTTTTAATTTAATACGAATTTTAAATATGTAAGCAGCCAGTCTATCATGCTTTACCCAACTGCGCGACAGTAAAGATAGAGTTGTGCCTTTCATGTGAATCACATACATAATGTGGGATTCTATAAACTCTCGAAGCATCTCAGCAGCTGCATGGATTTTGATTTTTCAATTAATGATTCTGTCTATCGATTCGTCTCAAGCGTGTAATGTTTACAGGCTGGATTATACTTTTATAAAACCAAAACAGCGGCGGTAAAATACAAACAGCGGCGGTAAAATACAAAATAGCAGTAGAAACATTCACTTTTTACGCAGTCGGGTTTCTTGATTTTTTAATTGACTTTTTGTTCTGATTTCATTACTTCAATTAAAAATAAAAGTTGTAGGTCTCATAATTAACTACCTATCACAGTCTTTAAAAAGAAGCCGTCTTTAGACTTATACGGATATACTTTGTCTTTTTTACAATACTTGACATAAGAAGTTTACTATATATATATATATATATATATATATATATATATATATATATATATATATATATATATATATATATATATATATATGGTATAATTAATGAAATATTAATATAGATAATGATTAATATTTTTTGATTAATATTTAAAGGACCAAAAATTAATATTATGAAAGAAGTAGTTATATGATAAGGTAAAGCACCATGGGTAATAATATATTAAAGTAATAATAATGTAAATAATATTCGATATATTTCATTAATTATAAGTAAAGGACATATTTATAAAATAAATAAATCTTTTAATTTTCCCAATTTTTTGACTACAATAAAAAAGTTAAAGCATTTCGTAGAACAGGATGAAAGTTCGGGTAGTGAAATAATACTAGTTTTTAAGGAATTTATCGCGTATATTTAACTTTTTTAAATACCCGACGATTCGAACGCTTTACAACACTCAAGGTCACGGGCGGGACTGAGATGTTCAACGGATGTCATAGTTAACCACGGTTACCATAGATTAAAATTTAACTTTTGTTCCGATCTACACAGTATGAACTTATGGTATCTTGAAGTCTTGCAGTTGTATGCTTGGGTTGGGATTTAATTTTATTTATTATAGGATCCCAAGCAGATGGTAGCACCCAGCCATCTTCTCTATTGAAATTAGGATGTTTATTGATTTCAATAGCCTCGCGAATCATTCTTGGAAGGAATCGGTGTTCTTTAGCGAGGATTTGTGGTCTATCAAATCTGATGTAGTGACGGGTGCGATCCTGTACGTGTTCACAGACTGCAGACTTCCCGGAGTGTCGATTCTTCACATCAGCTATATGTTCTTTAACGCGGGTTTTAATTGATCTTTTAGTTTGTCCTATGTAGGAGAGACCACATTCACAATCAAGCTTGTACACTCTGCATCTTTCAGAGGGACATTACACTTGACTGATGGTAAAAACTGACCAATCTTCTTCAGCGGCTTGAAGTATGTTTTGACGGAAGTGCCTCAAGATGTAGCCAATCTTGTCAGTGACTCCTCTAACATATGGCAGTACAGCAGGTACACGCTCGACTGTGGCCGGCTTCACTCGTTCACTGTGACGTAGGCGCGGGACCCGAAGCTTGTTGTTATGCAAAACTTGCTTGACATGGTGGAGCTCGGCAGCCAGGTGTTTACTGTCACAGATCCCTCGTGCTCTCTGAAACAAAGATTTACCCACGGTAGCTAACTGTGAAGGATAGTGGTGAGAATCACCGTTTAAATATCTATCTGTATGGATCTTTTTTTCTATACACAGTATGGCTCAAGGTGTTATCAGGATTCCGAATTACTAACACATCTAGAAAAGTTAAGGTATTGTTTGCCTCTAACTTCATTGTGAACTGAATTTTAGAATTTATAGAGTTAAGATGGTCTAAAAATGCAGTTACTTTATCTAAAAGTAGAATTGTGAAAGTGTCGTCTACGTACCGCTTGTAGAATCTTGGATTTATGGGAGAAGTAAGCAGGGCTTTCTCCTCAAAGTCTTCCATGAATATGTCGGCGACAATGGGAGATACAGGTGAGCCCATCGCCACACCATCTACTTGCTTGTAGAACTCCTCCTTCCACAATAGGTAGCCAGATGTAAGGCAGTGTCTGAGTAATACTGCATATTCTACGGGCATGTTGTTTTCTTCCAGCCTTGTAGTTACAATTGAGATGCAGTCTTCAAAAGGTAAGCATGTAAACAATGACTGCACATCAAAACTGACCATAGTTTCATTGTCTGCCAGATGTAGGTCTTTAATCTCGCTGACAAAATGGTAGGAATCCTTTATGTGTGCTCTTGTATGTCCCCTGAGCGGTGAGAGTATTTTCGCTAAGTGTTGAGCCAATCTGTAAGTTGGTGAATCGATTTGGCTCACTATGGGACGTAATGGAGCATTGGGCTTGTGTATTTTTGGTAACCCATACAATTTTGGTGATTTGGCGCACGTAGGTATTATCCATTTTACGTCCAGATTTAATTTTTCGGGTAGTATAGCTAGTCGCCGAATATTCGTTGCAAGCCTAGAATATATTATGTATAATTGCCGCCACGAGTCATGAGCACACATTTTATTGGTCGATATGACGTTGATCACGCGGACGCTCAACGTGATTGGTTCGTCAGTCGATTCTCGTTGTCTATAGGGTTCGCACGTATCATTCGACTACCGTACACTCTAGAGCAATTTCAGTGATAACTTTTTAATTAGTTTATTTTTGTTAATTGTAGTATTACCTCGTTGTTAATTGTTGTTTGTGTATTTCTTGTTTTAACTGTTTTTGATATTGCTTGTTGTTAATTTTTTTTGTTATAATTTGAGCTTTCGGATTTTGGTCTAAATATGGAGAGAAGAAAGAATTCGGTGTTAAATAGACAATCGCGACATATGGTCTTTTCAATGTTTTGTTACATGAAAAAATTAGGTATTGCGAAAAATATGATAGACGTTTATAAACAGATTGCTGAGGCGACTTATGTCTACGTAGCTATTGTACGGTGTATAGTTAAAGGAGTTAACGACTCAGAATTTCGAAAAAAAGTCAGTGAAAATATTCAATTATGAATTGAAATAACCACAGTAGCTAATAATTTTGGCCGACAGTGTACCTACGCTGGCTCAACCCCCACCATAGTTCATCTGTGCTTTTTGTCGTCCTACCTACCTTTCGTATCGGCAACTATATGTAGGTATAGTACGCGTCACGTAAAAAGAACGCTGGCGGTCAAGCTGCGCATAGGCGATTTATCGGTCTACTTGGTGGTATGAGGTAGGGCGCGGGGCGGGTGAGCCACGCGCCGCTTGTTTACCGATGCGCTATTGGTTCATCAGTTGAGCTTTGCTTTTGCGAGACTGTACCCATGCGCAAACACACTCCCACCACTTTCTTCCAGCGTTCTTTTTACGTGACGCGTGCTATACATCGCAACGCAAAACTACACTGGAATAAGTTCTGATACAACACTACTACATGATAAAAATTTTTTTCAATGGAAACTTGGTAATAGTGTATTACTCTCTCAGATAATTCTCTGCTAGGCTCAGACCAACAAAAAATATCGACGGGTTTTACATTTCAAGTGATGCAAAAATCATGTTTAACTTCTTGACATGCATTTACGCACAAGTCTTTCTTTTATTCTTTCTGTATCAGGCCGTAAAAGTTCATTGTTGAAAGCACACATGTTGTCAGTTGCAAATAGTTTTATTTGTATACATATGTGTACATGAATGTGTTCTTACAATTATTTGAGCATGATTTTGGCTTGGTTTTTGCGTCACTTGAAGTATGCAGCGTTCAGTCTTACTTTCTTTGATGATCTGAGCTGCCAGTTATATGCTACAACTAGCTAAGATGAAATATATAATATAATTTTTAATTATATTTAGGTGATACAACAGCTTCTGGGTCTGAGAAAGGTCTACGCACATGGGTCAAGCGGTCAAACTTAGTCGATTCACGAACTTCAGTCACAGATGTCAAATTTGGTCCGAAACATTTGGGGTTATTACTAGTCACTTGCTCAGCAGATGGGATTATACGGTAAGCAATAAACACATTTTTTATAGGATCATGGTGACAAACAAGCACACAGTCCACTTGTTAGTGAGTAGTTGCTGCGGCCTATAGACATCTACATCTATCCTCGATTACGAATCAAAATGCAGATGCGTTGTCACCCGTGCGGACTAAGATGGAATGCCTCGTTTCCATTAAAAGGGGTCGCTGGTTCTGCACACTCACCATACGAAATACTGCAGCGTTAAGCTGTTATTTTATGCTTTATATATATTTATTCTGTGAGAGCGTGGTCCTTCCCCAGTCGAAAGTCTTCCCAGTTTGTGCTACAACTATACTACTAATATAGCTGCAGCATGGTTCTTAAAATAAACTTATAAAAAAATTCAATCTTAAATTTTTTTTTCACTTTTTCATCAGTAAAGCGAGGTCTTTAACACTGTTCAGTGTACACCGAACACATTTTGTACGCGTCGGCATTTAACATTAAACTTTTTATTTTTAGCGAGTACATGTACGGACGCCAACAAAGTCCCGTGTACTCCTAATATTTGTAAACATTTTAACAATAAATATTTTTTAAACATTTAAACAATTATATTTTAACATTTACATCAAAAAGTGTTACTACTGTAATACCACGACAAACACTACTCATACTCGCCGGCCGCCGCAACACTCACAGCTACTACTTTTCGTGCGAAATTGTGATATTTACTAGCAGACGAGTTTATTGTCAGAAATGCTAGTTTTTTTAACCGACTTCAAAAAGGAAGAGGTGAACTCAATTCGACTGTATTTTTTTATAATTTTGAAGATTATTTTTTCGTTTGAAAACTAAGATAATTTTTCTAACTCATGTAGAACACTACTCCCACTCACTGGATTCCCCATGCCTACATTCTAAGTCGGCCGTCCAAAGGCAGCCTGAGGTATCTTGCTAAAGAATTTCAAGGCGCCCATCGGCGGCTTCAGCGTAAGACAGTAGAAATCGACGTGGACTATGGTTTTCATTAAACATACCATCATATATTTTGCATCTGTGGGATTTTAAAACTAGTACAGTTATAAACAAGTTAACATTCCACTTTATAGTATTTATCATATTATAGCTATTGTAGCATATTGACGCCTCAACTAACTTCATGCTTTGTTATCACCATTACAATTAATAGAATCGGGTGTTACTTTGCGGCAATCAATTTTATCACAGATTTTAAAAATCAATTAGCTAAGAGATACACGCAAAAAAATAAAACGATGCACTAGGAATAACACACCACTGTCGTTAATACGACACGGGTTTCACCACTACACGAGGCATCCTCAGGTTAAGTAGACTTTGCTGACCGCTTAGTCAGTGTGTAGTGGTGTTGGGAGTAGTGGTGCTGGAATGAGTGGTGACGGGGATAGTTCACGCAATTGGGCTAGGGCGGTAGGTGCTCGTTAAACTAGGTTAAACACATTATTTTATATTATTGCGCGGTATTTAGCTAATTGATATTTAATATCTATAATCATCACTATGTCCCATCACAAGTTCAGACCTGTGGGTTTGACCTAGACCAAGGTCCAGTGACTTTCTGTATGCTTCATCAATTCGTCATAAAAATAGTGGAGAGTCGTTTAACACTGTGCTTGTCAGCAAGGCTGGCAGTGAGGGATCATGTTTCGTTTTGTTTTTATAGAATAAGGTTGACATACGAGCACACAGTCCACCTGATGGTAAGTGGATGCTGTGGCCCATTTATCCTCGATTAAGAATGAAAATACGGATATGCCTTTTTACCAATGAGGACTAAGATGGAATGTCTCATTTCTAGTAAAAAGGGTCTCCAGATCTCTACACACACCATACTAAACACATCAGCATTACGCTGCTATTTTACGCTGGTATTCTGTGAGAGTGTGGTACTGCCCCCGTCGAGTCGACCCATTCGTGTTACAACAATATTATAGGTCTACTACATAAAAATATGTGGTATGTATGTATGTATCGTATCAATTCGTCATTCAAGTCGCTTAACACTGCGCTGTCAGCAAGGCTGGCAGTGAAGGATCATGTTTCAGTTCCTTATTACTGGCAACACGCTCGTTCTGTACGCTTACTAAAGAACCTTTGTTCTGAAGCATAGAATTGTCGCAGTTTTACCAACACGAACAATTAATTCTTAACGTTTAACACTAGAGAAATTTTACTACAAAAAACTACTAGAAAAACTAAAAAAATTGTGACCCGGAAACTTAACAAGGATATTTGATGAAGCAGACAACGTGAAATTATCTAAGCACCATGGTTTTCAGAATATACGAAGCTCCGGATGTAATGAATCTGGCGCAGTGGACGTTGCAGCATGAGATTCCTACTAAAGTTTCAATTAGTTGCTTATCATGGAATCCTACATTATCCAGGTGAGTTATTTCCATTGAAGTAATATGTACTTACGTACTAGAAAAGCTATCTCAAACAAAAAATGTGCGCTACTCTGTGTTCGCGCGGTTGTTTTTTTATCATAGAATAAACATAGGTAGAACGATCCGTAGGTAATAGTAGATTGTATTGTTAAATAGGTAAATTACGTCGAGAACAATTTTTAAATTTTGTCATTTATTTTGTATATTATATTTGCTTATTTGACATAATATTATATCACAATTACTAATATTTTAAAAGGTATCTATGTCAAATATAAAAAAACATACTAAATGTATGTTTAAGAAAACTTATTAACATAACATTAAAATTACAAATATATTTATTTAAATTAGAATAAGAGTAGTTCATAAATACTGGGCACGCGAGAGTTAAAAATGGACGAATTTATTCCACTTTGACTTGTGGAAGTGGAAACCTAAAAATAAAATAAAAGATTAATAAGCAGATTTAAACATGAAAAATTTAGCCTAATTATAATAACTAATACATATATTTCTACAAAAAATGTATATAATAATATATTCGTCCTATACTTAAGTACCCACAGAAATGTCGCATCTGAACATATTAAATTCATAATCTATATTCCATGAAACGAGATGGCGTCTTAGGTATAATTTATTTTATTATTAATCAATAATACTTTTTTATTGATTAAGTATCTTATTAACCGATGAAAAGTAATTCCTTGGTTTTAACTGACATTTCTCGAATTATTTGTGCAATATCTAAGTACACACGACGGCATATTTTTATCAAGAGATTTTTTTTTAAATCAACACAACACGTGACATCTCTACACTAGCGCCTAACGAGTGACTGATTAAAGTGGGGTGTATGCACCGCAGTTGAGTGGAACATAGTAGCTGAATACAGTGTCGCCTCTAGTACGTAGTACATAATAGTTCAATGGTTATTTCTCAAGTTTTTTGATCTTATTTTTTGATATTATCTTTCAAGTTTGTGAACGACTTCGATGGCTATTATTCTATTTATATTTAGTGCCAATCAGTAGTTTAAATTATTTATTGGACACTTGCAGCACACACTGTAGGTTAAATCTAGGGACTTATGTGTGCCCCTTACAGGTGACATTATTACTACAAAATTATTATTACAAAATACTATAAAAAGTTATAATAGCAGTTGTAGATACAAAGGTAGTTAAAAATAAAGGTCCCAGAAATATGGACACCATAATTAAGGTGCTGCGATCGCTAAGTTCGCTCAATAAAAGTCATTTTCAGTCTATTTTTACGATCAGATGCTAAACCACTTGCACATCCACGCATAATAAAATATTTCTCCATTTTTTAATGTTTCTTTTTGTCGAAAATTCAAAAATTACCGAGAATGACCAATGCCGCGAAGAAAATTTGTACATCATTCAACTAACTTCACCTACTTGTACTCATAAACAGCTAACTTCGCAGTCACTACTCACCCACGTCAGCGCCGCTATTTATTCTACAAATTATCAAGGACAGGCGGGCTATGCTTTAGTACGTAGCGATCGTTCTCCTGTTCTCTAACCTCCATTGCACGCGCGTTCGTCTTGCTTTGAGTGTCAAACTGAAGTGAGCGACAGAGCGAGAGTATGACCCCGTTCGCTCACTCTCAAAGATGGGTGTTACGATAATTATTATAATGTAACAACACTTTTAACTCTAAGGAATTTAACAAATTAAATTTAAAATAGTCTGTCCTGCATTTTGATGAATTTTCGTAACAGTATATAGGACGATTACTAAGCTTTTGGTCGATAAAAATTGATGGCGATATATTGAAAACGGGCTAAATTAGGAGTAGCCTTAACCGACGAGCATTTATGCGTAGGTATATAGATGTGGGGGAGGCGAGAGAGGTGTGTCAGGATCGTGCCAAATGGAAGTCTGTAGTCTCTGCCTACCACTCTGGGTGACAGGCGTGAGTGTTTGTTTATGTTTTATAAGCTATTTGACAACCAACCCCAAATATAATATGTAATTCAAATTATATTCAGATAACCCTAAGCCTTTGTGAAGTATGAAGAAAAGTTCGTTGAATTTATAATATAGGAAAGTAGACTAACAGCAGAAAACGTTTTTAGATGTAGTTAATAAAGTCATTAAGCTAACAACAAATAATATTTTTCTTAACGTAATTTTTTACAAAGAGTCACGCTTAATTATAAAACGAAAAAATATATGAGCAATTGAGTAAATAAGCAGTCTTTTTTAAATAGAATAAAGGTGGCTCGTTTCGAACCATTCGTTCTACAACCATAATATAGCTGCAGCGTGGCTCCACCACGTGAAATTCGGCTTACGAAAAAAAAATTAAGCACATTGCGGTCCATTTTAAGCGCATGAGACAACAGAATGTTTCTTAAACTACAGTGTCTAAAATACGATATTTGTGTCCATCCAAGCCTTAATCATGATTGTTCTACAGTAACAGAGTAAATCCGCCTATGTTGGCCGTGGGCAGTGATGAACCAAACGTCTCTAACAGCAGCAGCAACCAGGCTGATAAGCCTGGATGTAACGGAAAAGTGTTTATCTATGAGTAAGTAAATTTTTTCTTCAGTTGAAATTGTAAGTTAGAATTTTAAGAGTTGTTTTACTACGTTTTCGACGATGAAGTAAAACATCGTGAAGAATTCGGATGTCTGAGACATAAAAAAAAAGATTTAGCAACGCAGTGGACATTTCCATGTCCTGAAATCTTTAGAGATGACAGAAGGCCTTGAACTTGATAAACAGCAGTGCGAATATAGGCTTTAACTTCAAAAGTCTTCATTAACCCGTAACAATCTACTGCTGGACATGGACCGCTAGATGGTGGTATGAATGGGATATCTATACCGCCATCTTGCGAAAGTTTTTCTGACATTTCCTATAATTTTCTCTTACACCCACTGGTCGAAATGGAATAAGTCGATTCTTTTACGCGCTAACACTCGACAAACTATTTACATTGTTTGATACCTAGTATCTTAATAGTATAATATCAGCCGTATTGTAGTGATGTCATTCTATTTTATCCCTTGGGCTAATTTTTACCAACTATTTGAATCTACTGATGGATGCAGGCTTTTCCAATAATGCGACAAGGATTAAAAAGATTATCAGGCGTTGCTTTGCGGATCATTTTATATTAAAAATGTGAAAATTAAGTAGATAATGCGATATCAAGTCCAGGTAACACCAGCCAAAGTTGTCACACGATTTATTTATTTTATTCAAAAAATTTGTTTTAATTATTTTGGTATGGAAAGTTTACTTCATATTAGTAGTATTTATTATTATTGTTAATAATAATAATAATTGCTCGAAAATGACCGCGCCAGGCTCTACTGGGACCGGGCCATCATCACAGACAGGACTATTCTTGCGAATAAGCCTGATATTGTGCTGATGGACCGGGCACAGTCAAGGATATTTTTGGTCGACATTACCATCCCGTATGACGAGAACCTCGTGAAAGCCGAAACAGATAAGCGAACAAAATATCTGGACCTGGCTCACGAGGTGACCGCCATGTGGGGTGGTCGGCCGACCGAAATTATTCCTGTAGTCGTTTCTGCAAATGGGCTAATCCCAGTCAGCCTCTCGGGTCATCTGAGGCGGCATCCATGACGGACCGCTCCAGGCTCAAGTGCAGAAGGCGGTGCTCCTCGATACCGCCCGCATCGTCCGCCTGTTTCTTTCCCTTCCCCTAACCCTCGGCCGTTTGGTCTCCCCTACTGAAGGCCGCCATCTGGTTGGGCTTTTATTTATTTATGTATTATTAATTTATTTATGTTAGTATATGAAATATATCTTTATGTATATTTATCATTTCCTTTTATATATTTATTCAGCCCAACCAGATGAGAATACACTACTAATATAATAATTGATGATTAATAACCCCATAACAATAATTTCTTTATTTGCGTAAAACATGGTGTTTGTAGGTGGTACAGTAGAATAAGTTCACATGTTTTGCTTATAATTAGCATGCAAATTTAAGTTTGTTAATTTCAGGTAACATTAAATAAATATCAATGCCATAGGCTTCTACTACGTTCTCCTGTTACTATATATATATATACAATATGTAACGTAATTAAAGCACACCCTCAGACACCCAATTAGTATATTATGTTATAATCATAATACACTGAATTTTTAGTTAAACATTTTTATGCACCGATTATTTATCAAATTAGTTATACTAATTCCGGAAGAATGTTGTGGTCACAGTACAAAATACTTTAACGTGCTTGAAATAAAGTTCATTTTTCTTTATTTTTATTGAATGACAGTAATAATACAAATAAAACTGCACTCTTAAAAGTCTTATTGCCTTAAGTTACGGTCCATTTCAGTTTTCTTTGACTGTACAGATTTAATGTGACTGTAATTTACGTAGTTTTAATTATTTTTGGGATACAAAATTACCTATATTAAAAATTATAGGAATCGATTCAGTAAACGATTCTGAACAAGCTACTTTCTAAAAGTGCGTTAATTATGTTACGTATTATATATATATATATATATATATATATATATATATATATATATATATATATATATATATATATATATATATATATATAATGTGTTGTATGTATGTAATTTGTATCTAATTATAATTTCCAAAACACACCGTTGCCAAAAAATACGGTCATTCAGGTACTTTTTTATTAAGCGAGAGCAGCATGCCATACGCGTCGAGGGAGTTTACTATTTATTTTTTTGAAATTATAGCGTGGCGTTTGCGTTAATTAAGATGCAACGAGCAATTCTTGTATATATATATATATATATATATATATATATATATACAGAATTGCTCGTTTAAAGGTATTAGATAAATAAATAAAGTAATAATATCGCTATAAACTCAAAGACAATACGCTAATTTTTGGTTGTTATAATAGAAGTTTGTTGTTGTAATAGAAGTTGCAATAAAAGAAGAAAACTTGCCTGCATCGAGCAATAGAAAAACTACAAGAACTTCTGCTGGCTTATGAGGAACGTGGTTTTTCCAAAAATCACGTTATTATAGGTTTATTACCTACCTACCATAACGCACGTTAGGGACCAACACGGTATTAACATTATATGTTACGTATACTATATTGAGCCGTCGTAGCTTTGATGGTTAGCGCTCGCTGTAAATTTCACAGCACGTGAGCAAACCGGGTTCTATCCCTGCCGGCACCAATGAAATTGTTAATTGCAATTGTAAGTGTTGATTTACCACGTGCTCGGCGTTGAAGGAAAACATCGTAAGGACACCTGCATGTCAGAGAAATAAAACATGTGAAGTTCGCCAACACGCATTGGCGCAGCGCGGCGGACACTTCCTTGCCCTAAAACCCTCTCAGCAAATGAGCGGAGGCCTGTGCCCAGGAGTGGGAACGTATATAGGCTGTAACTTTAACTTTTTAACTTTTATACTATATTAAAGGTATGCGGAAACGTCGCGCCGCTGGACTCGTACAGACTGTATGTCGTCAGTAATGGAGCCCGTGAACGACCTTGCCTTTGCACCCAACCTCGGTCGTTCCTTCCACCTATTAGCTGTCGCCACCAAAGATGTAAGGATAATCAAGATTGAACCACTGCCGTAAGTGCCTTTATGTAGTAACAGAAATTTTGCTGATGATGAAAGTTGTTCATTTATTCATTCATTCAACAGAAAGGAACTCCTTACGAGGGTAGGCCAAAAAGTTAACACCATGAAAGGAAAAGGGGGTGAAATTAAACATGAAATTATTTCTCCATTTCGATCTATTCTCCATTAAATCTAACTACTACTACTACTACACTTCTCAGACCATTAAAACAACTTATTTATATGTACCTTTTCAGTTTTGAAGACAGTAAGTTCCAGGGGAATTTCTGTCAGCCATCTCTTCCATCACTGCACAGGGAGGACGACTCACTGGCCCATGCCGCAAAGGAGAAAGCCGATCTGCTAAAGCGTCCAATTCGACTCTCGATGACGGGGGGAGTACGCCGCCGACCATCCCGCGGTGTGAGTTCTCCATGCCAGAGGTGCGGTTTACACAGTGCTCGGTTCGCAAAGCGCTCCTCTCCCTGGACATCCACAAGTCGAGTGGGCCTGATGGTATCCTCCCAATTCTGCTGAGCACGTGTACTTCAGAGTTAGCATAGGTCTTAACGCGTCTTTTCCGGTACTCCTACTCTCTAGGCGTAGTCCTAAAATCATGGAAGACGGCTTTCGTCCACCCGATCCCTAAAAAAAGGCGACCGCTCAGACCCGTCCAACTACAGGCCCATCGCCATCACCTCCTTATTCTCCAAAACAATGGAATCCATTGTAAACTGCCAGCTCATGATATAGCTTGGGAATCACCAGCTGATTAGTGATCGCCAATACGGTTTCCGTCGTCTTCGATCAGCTGGTAAGCTTCTGATCTACCTGACTCATAGATGGACGGCGGCAGTAGAGTCCAAGGGGGAAGCATTGGCCGTTAGTTTGGACATAGCGATGACCTTCGATCGGGTTTGGCACAAAGCTCCCTTCCTATGGGCTTTCCGAGAAATTGTGCAATTGGATCACCAGCTTTCTTGCAGATCGGAGCATCAAGGTTGTTGTAGACGGTGCAAGCTCCGATTATAGGCCTATTAATGCTGGTGTTCCACAACGCTGTTTCTTTTGCATATCAATGATATGTTGCAAACTGTAACATTCATTTCGGTTAGTGAGTTTTAAGTCAGGAACCAGAGAAGTTTGCGCGTTAACCGCTAAAAAGAACCCCTTTGTCGTATCCCCTCAGTTTCAAGGCACTCCCTTTGTTGCCTCAGCCTGTATGGGAATCCTCGGAATCGACATATCGAGTGGCGTGCAGTTTCGTGGTCACTTGGAAGAGAAGGCCAAATTGGCCTCTAAAAAGCTTGACTTGGCTCAGCAGAGCGGGACAGTATTTCATGCCGGCTCACCGCCTGCAACTTTACAAAACGCAGGTTCGGCCGCACATGGAATACTGTTCCCATCTCTGGGCTGGGGCTCCCCAGTACCAGCTCCTTCCACTTGACCGCATCCAGCGCAGAGCGGCTCGAATCGTCGACGACCGAGTGCTTTCCGATCGGCTTGATTCAATGGCGCTGCGAAGAGATGTTGCATCTCTTTGAGTATTTTATCGCATCTTACACACATTGCATGCCGTGGCAACCTTAAATTAAGACGACACTTAGATATAAACTTTCCTGTTATTTCTAGTATTTACACTGTGTTCGTGTATGTCTTGTTGGTTGTCCTAAATAAATAAATAAATAAAATAAATGTACCTTCAAACAAATGTTTTTAGGCAGAAATTGCCGACATCACTTCTTCGTCATTTGTAAATTTCTTTCCCCGAAGCTCTTTCTTCATATTTGGAGGGTAGTTTAAAATTTCGAAGCCGCAATTGTGTAAGGAAGAAGGTGCGATTTCGTGCAAAACAAACAAATAACTTCGTTCCTGTTCTCACAACAAAGGTCCAAAAACTCGCGTAAACGCTCGACCCACTGCTGTTTCTAAAGCAGTGTGAGCATTCTTGACATCTTGTACTGACCTTAGACATGCCAAAATGGTCATGGATGTTCGTAGATGATACTTCAGTCATTTCTGCCCTCTAACCACTCCATTCCGCAAGCTTTTAGACCTGCTCTCGTAAATTGCCTCATATGGCGAAGTTAAACCATAGTTACCACGCGTGGCAAGTGGTTTAGGAACCGCAGTTTTTAATTTTGAGTTCTTATCAGAAAGATGTTTCTGCCCATCTCACGTTTCTTTGCCCTCTGTCATCTTACGACAACATGGGGTAGTCGATATTCTTACCTAACTTATTTTTTTTTTCATTTTTAAAGTCATAGTCGATTTTTATCTGTGGTTGAACTTTTTGAACTTATAATTTATTGCTGATTTTTCAATCTTAAGTCAGTAGGTAATAATCGGTGATATGTATCAAGATTTCTTATTTACACACATCGGCTTTCAGAGAATCGTCAACCGCGACAACGGCAAACGGCAGCTGCGGAGTTCGTTTCAAGACTGAAGTGATGGCCGCCTTTGAAGATCACTATTCCTGCGTGTGGAGGGTCTCGTGGAACGTCACCGGCACTCTGCTCGCTTCCTCAGGCGATGACTGCTGCGTCAGGTTGTGGAAGAGTAAGTTTTATTTTCTCCTACTCACTCCATCTCAATCTTTTGTAATTTGTCACTGCCGTATTTTATACTTAGCCTTTAAGGAAGACAATAAACATATTTTTGAAGTGAAAATTTCTCTTTGTAATCGTTGGGATTTGAAATTCGATGACACAAAAAGCGACGCTAAAAAGAGACAAACATATACATGTATAGGATTTAACTTGCGAGAGAATGAGATAAAATACAGTAGAAAAGTACAGTGTAGTAAGCGACTGCAGCCTATTGGCAGGGTGCGGACCGCGAACTCGAAAGTGTTTTTTCTTCGAAATTCTTCTTTCGATTCGAAATCTTTCGATTCGAACCCGAATCCGACATTCGACTACTGTTGTGAACCACTCTTAACACAAGCATTATTGGCTTACCTGTACTAGTTTGAGGGTTTTTTTCAAATACAGTGTTTTCTATTATCTCGCTCACCTCTTTGTGTAGTTGTTCGCGGTGAACAAAAGAAATATATCGTAGTTCTTCTTAAAGATTTATTCGACTGAATTTACAAATTTATTAATTAGATTATTCTTTAATTACATTGTGCTTGTGTCTTGTTTGTTCGGAGGTTATAATGGGAATGTGAGAACGAATGTGAGTGTCGGGTGTGGGTTGAGTATTTGTGCAGTGTGATTGGTTGATTGTACGGTTGGTGTGTATGACTCTATACAATAACATTATATTAAGTGCCTTATAAGAAATGCACTGTCTACTATCTGGCGTCGACAGTAGTGTTTTAATATGGTTCATATAAATTTTAGCAATAAAAAAAAAACAAATATATTAAATAAAAAATAGCATATTGAATACTCTATATATCTATCTATTATCCTATCCAACTCATTCATTACAATCCGTGACTTCGGAGGCAATGGAATTATTGTTTGATAAAATCACTTCACTTATAGAATGAACTTTTACTCGAAAGAAAGTATTCTTTTGATTCATTACATTAACATTTGGTCTAAAAATAAGGATTGTAACATTTGCTATAAAATAAAGCTTTTAATTTATATTTTATGCTGCACTTGTGGTTGACAATTATCTTAATAATAAATCCTATATTTCATTTGAAGGTTTCACTTCTAATGCGTGTGAACCGCACACATGTTTCTTTGTCTATGAATATTGATACATACATATAGGTGTTATGGTCAATAAACCATTAGAGACTTTTAAAGTTGGTCACAATGTGTTTTTAAAATAACTTTCGATCAAATAATATAAAAGCCGTTATAACATCAGCTATCCGTAGTAAGTGTGTGTAAGTATCGTCACAATCGGTTCAACCATTTCGGAGATTAGCCGGAGCAAACAGACAGACAGACAGACGGACAGACAGTCATTGTTTGTGTATATATAGCGTTATTTTTCAAAGAGTATTCAAATTTTAAAGGACAATGGCGAACTCCCAAACAAATTTTATGTGACTTTTTTTTGTTGCATCTACAAATGAAAAATATGGAAAAATATAGAGTTTAAAATCCTGAACATTTTTTTCTTCGGTCATACTACTGCAGGAAGTCAGGACATATTCCAGTTTAAACAAAATACACATCAGACTAGGCTGTATGGTATAAAACGCCTTAATTGGCAAATCGTTACAACAACTATAGTCAATATAATTTTCATATATGCTTATATAGAGTAATTACTAGCATAGAGGAGATCGATGAAGAACGCATTAGTATATATAGAAGAGTTTTCTGAATAAAATACATACAGTATCTTTACTGTTGCGCAGTCGGTTAAAGCATGATAGACTGGCTGCTTACATATTTAAAATTAGTATTAAATTAAAAATACGCAGCACGGTAAGAAAATAGTATTTTCCTTGTAACTAAACCTCATACTAAAATATAGTGAATATACTACACGTGAGAAAAACAAGACCAACACAAATTATGGCACCATTTGCCGGTATGCCGAATATGCGGCTGTCCAGCGAGGATTATTCAACCAGTATTTGGTGTATGTCCAAATGTACTATTAATTTAATGTGGTGTACAGATTTTTGTGGCTTGGCATACAATAAATGAAAAGTATTACAAAATACATAATTTTGTTCATATGTGAGGATAATTTTTTTATACAGCCTATATACGTCCCACTCCTGGGCACAGGCCTCCGCTTATTTCTGAGAGGAGTACTCAAAACGTCGGGTATTTAAAAAGTTAAATATACGCGATGAAATCCGTAAAAACTAGTATTATTTAATCGTCACATCGTGGCATCAAAAGTATGGTAACTGCAGAGTCAGTTTTATAGATAATTGTTAAGACTAACATGTTTAAAACCATAATATATTAATATTACGGTACTACAAAGATTATTACCTATATTAAGTATTTCAAATAAACTCAACAAAACCACTGGAGCACTGAACAAAGAGGTTACTTTGCCAATACAATTCCGCTTTAGAATAAAATGCTAAAATTAACTCTCATGTTGCCATATCAAAAACAGTGCTATTAATCAGTTATTGTTAATGGTGTATCTCGAAAAACGTCTGCCCCTGCTGGCAAAGTTGCTTACATTAGTAAAGTTGACAGACTGTATTCGAGGTTCGAATATTTTCGTTCCGTCATTGGATACATACAAAGCGACAGTTCCTACGAACATTTAAAAATAGCACACTTGTATATGATGAGGTACAGAACGGGCGTGCGGAAGTAGGTACCTAGCGGTGTTATGGTTAATGGAAGGGAAGGACGCAGGCAGATGCGCGAAAAAGTACTTAAATTTATAACCGAGCGATTCTTACGAATGTGGTACCTGCGTAGTGAAATTGTAGATGTTAGATATTTATTGAATGACAGTGACTTAAAATAATGTATAGTAATGCGTATGCGTAGTAACGCATTCTAATTATTTTTTAAACAAAAAGGAGAAAATGTTTGAGGTTTTTATAATTTTTTTTCACAATTCGCCTATATTACTTATTTTGAACCTTCCCTGCAAATTTGGGCATATATTACAAAATAACCCTGTATGCATACCTTTTTATTTCAAACGCTACTTTTCAACTTACACTGTGTGACTGTATGCGTAACAAATAAGTTGTCCTTAGTTCCAACTAACGAAATGTGGTTAGCGCAGGATTATCAAGCCTCATTGTTTGCAGTGCAATACCTGAACCAGTGGAAGTGCGTGGCGGTGCTGCGCAGCTCCCCGCAGAGCGGCGAGGCGGCGCCGCAGTCGCGCGCGCACACCACCTACACGCGCCTCGCCGCCATGGCCAACCCCGCGCACATGCCCTACCACTGACCTACACACACGTGAGTACTGTTGTATCGTGCCCTACCACTGACCCACACACACGCGAGTAATGTTGTATACATGCCCTACCACTGACCCATACACTTGTATCGTGACCTACCACTGACCCACACACACGTGAGTATTGTTGTATCGTGCCCTACCACTGACCCACACACACCACAGACTGACCCATACACTTGTATCGTGACCTACCACAGACCCACACACACGCGAGTACTGTTGTATCGTGCCCTTCCACTGATCCACACACACGCGAGTAATGTTGTATATGTGGCCGTGGATAGAAAAGGGGAGATCTCCCGCCGAGCAAGGTGTTCTGCCCGGGGAGAGGCCAACGCTCCGTGTGATAGTTCGGAGATGTTCTACATATACTGTTTATGATTCGGAATTTTGATAGCGTGATTTAGGCTTCGGTGTGTTTCGCTTGTGGCGCTACGACAGCGCCGCCACATCACCCCCCTGCTCAGACCGGAGGTTGATGGTGCAGTCTCGTTGTCGACGAATGTGCAAGTGCCAAGAGATTGCCTTGTAGTCTGCGGTGAGTCGAGAAGAAGGCAAGTAATCCGCGAGAGTGCCGTGAAGCAGAGGCGAGCAGTAAGGCTCAGAGCCGTGCCGAACACTTTAGCGCAGAGTGTAGCTTGAAGGAACAGGAAGCATTATTATTCCAGTGCTGCGATGAACCTTGTGAAGCTAGATGGCTTGCAGGATATGCAGACTGCAGACGATATCTGCTTGGGAGACGATATCCGAATGGGTGGGGTATTCTATGACGATGATGAAACTTGAAGTTTCCGAAGGTTGTTGGTTGCATGCTCAGATCACGTCGGGGTCACCACTGTGGCCGTGGATAGAAAAGGGGAGATCTCCCGCCGAGCAAGGTGTTCTGCCCGGGGAGCGGCCAAAGCTCCGTGTGATAGTTCGGAGATGTTCTACATATACTGTTTATGATTCAGTATTTTGATAGCGTGATTTAGGCTTCGGTGTGTTTCCCTTCTGGCGCTACGACAGCGCCGCCACATATACATGCCCTACCACTGACCCATACACTTGTATCGTGATCTACCACTGACCCACACACACACACGAGTAATGTTGTATACATGCCCTACCACTGACCCATACACTTGTATCGTGACCTACCACAGACCCACACACACGTGAGTACTGTTGTATCGTGCCCTACCACTGACCCACACACACGCGAGTAATGTTGTATACATGCCCTACCACTGACCCATACACTTGTATCGTGACCTACCACAGACCCACACACACGTGAGTACTGTTGTATCGTGCCCTACCACTGACCCACACACACGCGAGTAATGTTGTATACATGCCCTACCACTGACCCATACACTTGTATCGTGACCTACCACTGACCCACACACACGCGAGTAATGTTGTATACATGCCCTACCACTCACCCATACACTTGTATCGTGCCCTACCACTGACCCACACACACGTGAGTACTGGTGTATACGTATCCCACCACCGACCTACACACACGTGAGTACTAATGATTTCTTATATTTACGCGAACACTACACATTGAAATAGTACTAGTTTTTTACGGATTTTATCGCGTATATTTAACTATAAATACCCGACGACAGCGCTCGAAACGCTTTACGAGTACAGCCCCCATGGTCACGGGGAGGACTGAGATGTTCAACGTCCAAATTTCGTAGTTAACAGCGGTTACCATAGATAAAAATTTAACTTTTGTTCCGATCTACACAGTATGAACTTATGATATCTTGAAGTCTTGAAGTTGTATGCTTGGGTTGGGATTTAATTTTATTTATTTTAGAATCCCAAACAGATGGTAGCACCCAGTCATCTTCTCTATTGAAATTAGGATGTTTTTTGATTTCAATAGCCTCGCGAATCATCCTTGGAAGGAATCGGTGTTCTTTAGCGAGGATTTGTGGTCTATCAAATCTGATGTAGTGACGGGGGCGATCCTGTACGTGTTCACAGACTGCAGACTTCCCGAAGCGTCGATTCTTCACATCAGCTATATGTTCTTTAACGCGGGTTTTTATTGATCTTTTAGTTTGTCCTATGTAGGAGAGACCACATTCACAATCAAGCTTGTACACTCCTGCATCTTTCAGAGGGACATTACACTTGACTGATGGTAAAAACTGACCAATCTTCTTCAGCGGCTTGAAGTATGTTTTGATGGAAGTGCCTCAAGATGTAGCCAATCTTGTCAGTGACTCCTCTAACATATGGCAGTACAGCAGGTACACGCTCGACTGTGGCCGGCTTCACTCGTTCACTGTGACGTAGGTGCGGGACCCGAAGCTTGTTGTTATGCAAAACTTGCTTGACATGGTGGAGCTCGGCAGCCAGGTGTTTACTGTCGCAGATCCCTCGTGTTCTCTGAAACAAAGATTTAGCCACGGTAGCTAACTGTGAAGGATGGTGGTGAGAATCACCGTTAAAATATCTATCTGTATGGGTCTTTTTTCTATACACAGTATGGCTCAAGGTGTTATCAGGATTCCGAATTACTAACACATCTAGAAAAGCTAAAGAATTGTTTGCCTCTAACTCCATTGTGAACTGAATTTTAGAATTTATAGAGTTGAGATGGTCCGTACCGCTTGTAGAATCTTGGATTTATGGGAGAAGTAAGCAGGGCTTTCTCCACAAAGTCTTCCATGAATATGTCGGTGACAATGGGAGATACAGGTGAGTCCATCGCCACACCATCTACTTACTTGTAGAACTCCTCCTTCCACAATAGGTAGCCAGATGTAAGTCAGTGTGAGTAATACTGCATATTCTACGGGCATGTTGTTTTCTTCCAGCCTTCTAGTTACAATTGAGATGCAGTCTTCAACAGGTAAGCATGTAAACAACGACTGCACATCAAAACTGACCATAGTTTCATTGTCTGCCAGATGTAGGTCTTTAATCTAAAAGTAGGACAAAATGGTAGGAATCCTTTATTTGTGCTCTTGTATGTCCTCTGAGCGGTGAGAGTATTTTCGCTAAGTGTTGAGCCAATCTGTAAGTTGGTGAATCGATTTGGCTCACTATGGGAAGTAATGGAGCATTGGGCTTTTGTATTTTTGGTAACCCATACAACTTTGGTGATTTGGCGCACGTAGGTATTATCCATTTTACGTCCAGATTTAATTTTTCGGAGAGTTTCTTTATGATGTCACTAGTTGTTTTTAGTGTGCTATTTGTTGGGTCGTTTTTAACCTTTTTATAAGTGCTTACATCCGGTATTTATAGTTAAATATACGCGATAAAATCCGTAAAAACTAGTATTATTTCAACACTTGAGTACTGTTGTATACATGCCCCACCACTGACCCACACACACACGTGAGTACTGTTGTATACGTGCCCTACTACTGACCCACAGACATGTGAGTACTGTTGTATACGTGTTCCACCACGTATACAAACACAGGTGAGTACTGTTGTATCGTGCCCTACCACTGACCCATACACTTTTATCGTGACCTACCACTGACCCACAGATACGTGTATGTATACGTGCCCTACTATTGACCGACACACACGTGAGTGCTGTTGTATACGTGCCCTTCCACTGACCCACACATACGTGAATACTGTTGTACACGTTTTCAACCACTGACACACCACTTACACGCTCTTTGCCGTCGTGGCCAACCCATACAAGTCTTTTTTTTAATTCGTAGTTCATCAAAGAGTTTTTTTATGGAATTAGGGTGACAAACGAGCACACAGTTCACCTGATGGTAAGTGGATGCTATGGCCCATAGACATCTTCATTTAACCTCGATTGAGAATCAAATTGCAGATGCGTCACACCCCTAAGGATGGAATGCCTCGATTCCAGTAAAAAGGGTCTAAAGAATTTAAAAAAAAATCCCCTTTGAAAATTGCAAGTCTTTGCAATAAAAAAAAAATCGGTTGTTACATCATCAGTAGGACAATTTGAAGAGAATCGCGTAAAAAAATTAAGGTAGAATAGTTTTCGGTACTTATCCGCCGATTCCTCCGGGACTAAACCAATTATTCGACACTAAAGAGCCGTAATTTTGTTCCTTTGGCCGTAAAGGTAACCGTATAGTGACGGTGTAAGAATATCCACTATCGTGTATCGTCTTTGACCGTAAAATGCACCGTATATTGACAAAAGAATATCAACTACCCTGTATCATCCCGTGGGTGTCGTATGTCACCGGACACAGGGAAACTGAAACAAGATTGTCAGCAGTGTCTTCCCGATAACAGTTGAATAAAAATAAACTCTGTCGCCAACCCGCTTGTAAATCGTGGAAACTATTCTCCCAAATATTCTAATCTCCGCAAATATTCTCCCTATGAGCCAATCTGCGAGAGGCCTATGTTCAGTAGTGACATTTAGATAGGCTGTAATTATTGAAAAATTGGCCCTGAAACTAATTTCGATGTATGAATAAAATGCTTTAAATTGTCGCAAATTACTCTATTCTTTACTGCAATAATGAAAAGCAATAAGTCTCAAAAGTGTGTATACAAAAACCACCTGTATTTTACCCGGTATAGTAAGATAAAAAAATAATTCGCTTATAATTACATGGTGGTGTTCTCTATAAAGGAATTTTTACAAACAAAAATGCTTAAAAATATGGCCATTGAAAGTGCTTCAGCGCATAGGATGTCATTTCATTGGAGCAGTACGTCTGATTCGCTGTGTGTGGGTAGTTTCCCTGGCAAACTGCGTCCGGGTGGAAAACCACCCAACCTGAAAATAATTTTTTATTCTTTTTAGATTATCTTATAGTTTATGTTAAAAAACTTGGTTTTTGAAAATATCAACTCACTGATACGTTCTTCTTAACGTTGACTGCCTCTATGATCTAGTGGTTGTAGTAGTGTGACTGCTGATCATGAGGTCCTGGCTCCGAATCCCAGGTCGGGGTAAATCTCGATCATTGAGTTTTTCCTTCAAGAAATTAGTAGTTCCAATCCCTTGCCTCGGAAAG